ATTTATTCAATTCAACTTTCTCAGCAGCACATTACTTCTTTATGGTAGCTGCAATAATATGAAGTATTCCATCGGAGATTAAATTTGAATACTTCTATTAATCGACATTCGACTGAATTCGTCCTCGGATTATATTCTTTAAAATATTCAACGGATCTGCAACCTAATTGTATCCAGCATATTCAAAAACTCAGCGCTTATCCATTCTGACAATCAACTATTTATTATCTGCAAGTAAGGGAACGTGGTGGATCTTCGTGGAGCAACAAACCTTCGAAAGCAGCAGAATTTTTTAAAAAAGTAAGAAAAATTTTGTAAAATACAAAATAAAAATACAAAAAAATAAAAAAACAAAAGTGAGAAAAATAAAAAAATTAAATTAAATTAAAAAATTAAAAAAACAAAAATAAAAAACAAAAAAAAAACAAAATGAAAATGAAAAGCATCTTTTTAAAATTGCATGATTGTTCTTTTAATATGCAATGTTGTATTGCATGACTTCATTTTATTCGCTGTATTTTTCGTAATGTCATTTTAATAATGTATTGTGTCATTGTTAGTTTTAAACGATTTTGTTATTTTATTTTTGTTGTTAGCAAATGAATTGCTGGTTGTTGAGCTTTTTGTTTTATGTTCTTGTTTGATTTTTGTGTGATCATATCCATTTTATTGTTTTAATAGTGTCATGTTTTAGCTACTTAAAGTAGTTCGTGTTGTTGTTTTATTGTTGTTTGTTGTTATGTCATTGTTGTTGTTTCCTGTTGTTTTATTCTTGTGAATTTTATCAGTAATGTTTTATCAGTGACACTTGTTTTAGGTAGCTTCAAGCTTTTTTTGTCATGTACTTTTTAGTTCTTGTAAGCATAGTGATTGTAGTGCGTTCAGTTGTCTTATGTATTGTTTGACATTTCATGTTGTTATTTCATTGGCCTGTTTTATCGTTTTGATACTTTTGTTTTATTGCTTTGTTATGTTAATGTTAGCTTCAAGCACTTTTACAATATTGTTGTCGAGTCATTATTTATGTTGTAGCACAATTCAGTGCTATC